CACGACGCGCAATCACACGCGAGGTGATCGCGCTGTGCTTCGATTTCACTCCAAGATTTACTTTGTACTCTTCGACCACGAAACTACACCACAGACCAAAAAAAAACAACACAAAACCTCTAATGAGCATTCGTATGACTTGCGCACGACATAACGATACGGCGACCAACCATAGAGATATAAGAATAGAGCGCGTCAGCAGTAGGCTGACGCGTGAGTGGCTGCGATAGACGAATAGAAAGAGAACGATGCATAGTTTCCCTGTGTGTCTTTGTCTAATCTCGCGCACGCGCAGTATGACTTCGCGCTGGTTGGCCGGCCGTGGCCCCCGCGGAGCCGATGGATTTCAAACGCCGGCGGATGAGTTGTAATGCAAAGTAATTGATTTTGACATGAAAATGTATTAAAAACATTCGGATTTTTTGGCGAAGACAGCGGAAAACATGTTCCTTTCTAAAATCATGAAGAAAGAATATGGAAATGATGCGAAATATTTTGTTTATAAGCACGACAGTGTCCAAATTCATGTTTTGGACACTGTCGTGATAAGTACGCGTTACATATTTGATAGGACTGAAAATGTTAAAATGCAATGCTAGATTTATAAATAAACAATCCTCATGTATGATTTAATTAATTGTAATGAAAATAATGGTGTTAAAAAAGTAATATTGCAAATACAGAAGAAATGGTACCTTTAATATTCTTCTTTATCATGTATATGATGAAAATTATGATGAGAATATGTGTCATTAAGCAAGAATTATGGTAAATAAAGTAAAAAATAAAGAAATTATAGTTAAAATAGAAAAGTATCATTGAAACTACAGATATCAATTTTTATACAATTAATTACAATGTTTATTAAGGTTAGGTTTGTATGTTTGTTATGTATACGTACAATATGTGTGTACTTACTTATGAAAACTGCGATCAGAAAATCGGTTTGATTCTTTTTTGCACACGATACACTTTACAGTCATTTTTTAAAAAAACTGTACACAAAAACATTTGTAAAATCGAAAGCGGTTAATTCCGGCATATTCACTACCATGCTTGTAAGTAAACATGGATGGGCTGCGCGCATGCGTCATTAAACAAGAATGGCACGAGTAACTATGCAGCGTTCTCTTTCTATCCCGCTAACGCCTGTACCTACGGCTTTTGCCCTCTATTCTTATATCTCTATGCGACCAACTCACCAGCAGCGACGGATGCCCAGACTTCACCAGATACGCGACACTGCAGTTTTCTCGCATAAAGTCACTAGGGCCGGAATCCATATGCTGGATTCACATTGCATCCGATTTT